CAGAAATGAGGAGGATCACTAGTACGAGTGGAAGGATAACAAGAATTGCCAGTTGACCGAGCGAACTACTGGGTGAGTCTAGGAGACCGAAGATCGTTTGATGACCGGTCTTGTTTTCGGGGGTATCGGGGAGTGACGGTTGCAGTTCGGTAGCCAACTGTCTCAGAGTGAATTCCTTGCTGAGTTTAAGGGCGTAATTGTTCCTGCACAGATGCTCATCCGAACACATGCCCGGGACACACTGTCCAACCGGCAAACTCTCACTTCCCTCCGGCGGCACCGTCTCGAAAACGATCTGGCTCTCGGCTGATGGTGGTCCTGGCAAGACACGGAGAACGTTCGTGTTTGGCTGCTGACTACAACGCGTGCACACAAACTGAATAGGCAGGTCTCGGCAGCCCACAAGTCGCAGAGACCGAAATGAATCTCCAAATGTTAGGAAGTTTGTAAAAGTAGACGAGCAGTTGAGTACTGCTGTTTCGAGTTTGGGTAGGCCGGCAAGACTGCACGACTCAAGGGCGAGCGAATGCCTCCATGCATGGAGGCCCTTTAAACTAGAAAGTCCGGCGAAGGCAAAAGCATCCAGGAGCTTTGCATTCAGAGGAAGATCCAACTGTAAGTTAGTGGCGCTTTGGGCCGTACCCCTGAAGTCCAAGTCACTGAGACCATAGGGTTCTATGGACATACCTAACGGTCTATCTTTGGTAGATTCCTCCCAAACAATTTCCTGACCACCTATTCGGATGAGATCGTTTACGCGGTTGCAAGCAACCGGTCGGAAGACTGCTGCTGTCATGTAGTCTTTGTTGGGAAAACAACGAAGCATAGAAAGCATGCCAGAGCGTTTATAGCCACAAAAACAATCCCCGAATTCAGTACCTCTGCACACTAGAGACGTTAGGTGGAAGAACAGAATCCACAAAAGGGAAGGTAAGTCCATATTCTGCTCCTCGTTGCAATTTTCCTTTCACATCTGGTGGCGTGAAATAGACGACAAATACTCACTAAAGGCCATGCGTTGTCGTTGAAAATGGGGCATGATGTTGCTTTCCATAGACCTTCACCGGTGTCAACCAATCAGGATCTAGATTGAGGCGATCATCCAATCGTATGATCGTGCAGGTAAGAACCAATCGCATTACTAGAACACTCAGAACGGGGGAGTATCGCCTCGTTTTGCAAAAATAAACTGTCACATAGGACGGATCTCATCAAAGTTGGAGACACTGACAGAGAGGACGAACGCCGACAGGCAGAGCCTCCTTCCACACGAAATGGACAACTCGATTAACGCACTGGTGTTTATGGTCAGGTCTCAGGAGTCGCGTGAACGTAAACAATTGTTACTACAGGTGAACCACATGGTCCCTTTCTCAGTAGAGTTTGAATTTAGGACTTGATGGAAGAGATAAACTATGGCAAAGGCGCAGAGGGGATTCTGCATTTAGTTATTTCACAGGAACATATAGGAAAGTGGATTTTAGCGAAGCTGATACCCGCTTGATTGCCCCTAATATCCAGTACAATTGGCCAGTCTACCACACAAGTAGGATATGTTAAAGATGACTACTCAACAGAAGAATATAGAATTCGGTAATCAGCAAGGGCCCACTTTCTAAATACCGGTTTGTTCAAATGTAGCATCAATTTATAGGATCTATCAATGTTCTTTACATTTATCTTGGCTAACTTATAGCTTTTCAACCTAATTAATTTACTATGTTATTTGGTTCTGAGGTCGCGTTCCACCAATATCATTCTATGAATGAACCTGTCCGTCCCTTTTTACCTTTGTGTACCGTAAACAGGTGTTTACGTAATGGGATGCAATAAGGCCTGCAAGTAGGCCATAGGAACACCAAGTTGCCTTTGCCGCTATACCTTCGGACTAAGTGAATTTGTACGAAAGAGTATTTCATATATCCTGTTAAGGCACCTGCTTGACCGGAGGCTTTTTTGGAAAATCGCGACGAGGCAGCTCCAAAAAAGCACTAGCTCGAAGGATTTGCAAAGTTTTAAGGCCGAATGAAGCTACGAAATCACATTTATTGTTATCGAAATGTGTCCATACATATTAAATTTATTATTAAGTTAGGATGTGTCAGCGTAGTCGATAACGAGTACAAAGCCATGAAAAGATGTTCACACATAACCAGGGTAATTAAAATGTGTTCAACTGTAAAAAGTGCTCTTGCTTG